AATGTTCTTGGTAACTTGCCTAATAAAAATCCAAGAAGGTGATCTAGGGTTTTTCCACCTCATTCCTGGAGTAAAAAATGAAGGTCCGCTGCTGGAGGGGCTAAGAAATGTCATATCCTGCCCTAGCTGGTTTGGCTCAGTGGATAGATCCTCAGCCTGCCGACCACAGGGTCTGGGTTCAATTCTGGTCAAGGGCATGTACCTAGGTTGCAGGCTCCTCCCTGGCTGGGGACCAGGTCAGGGCTCATGCAGGAGACAACCAATCAAAATGTCCCTCTCACATTGATGTTTCTCTCTGTCTTTCCCTCTCTCTTCCACACTCTCTAAAAATCAATGGAAAAATATCCTCAGGTGAGGATAAAAAAGAAAGAAAGAAAGAAATGTCATATCTTATGAAAGGGACATCTTGAAAATGCCTAAAGACAGTTGTCATTTTTTTGTAGTGAACAGACTGGAGTCCGTGTTAATGAAAACACCTTGGCGGCTGCAGTGGCCAGCAGTGGCAGCAGCAGGGGAGTGATGGGGGCGGCGCCTTCCCCTGATCAGCCAGGTTGCCTCCTGCAAAGAGAGGCCTACTGATGGCTTAGGCCCATGTGGACTGGGCCTAAGCCATCAGTAGGACATCGCCTGAGGGCTCCCAGACTGTGAGGGGGGCAGGGGGCGCTGAGGGACACCCCCCCTCAGTGCATGAATTTCATGCACTGGGCCTCTAGTATGACTATAAATTTGCTGAAATCATTGACTTGTACACTTATAATAGGTGAATTTTATGGTATATAAATCATCCCTTGATAAAGGGATGAGTATATAAAAAGATCTATCAATTATAGTAATTCCTCATGTGTTTATGTACTGTAGTTTTTAAACCTATTTGTATGAGAGTAGAAAATATACATATTGGTCTCTGTCCCAGTTCCTGGTGCAGAGCTCCTGAAATCCTTGGAAATTGCTAAGTGGTGAGAGCACTAGGGGTGGTGAGAGCACTAGTGGTGTTCTACTGAGGTGAATCTGGATGGACTCCTGGATGGGGGCAGCTCATCAGAAAGATCAAACCATGATTAGAAACTTGGACTTTTCAGCCCCATACTCCATTCTCCAGAAAGGGGAGAGGAACTGGAAATGGAGTTAATAATCAACCAGGCCTATGTGATAAAGCCTCCATAAAACCTCAATGGTATGGGATCCGGAGAGCTGCTAGATTGATAAACACATCCAAGTACTGGGACGGTGCTGCACCCCAACACCATGGGGACAGAAGCTCCTGTGCCCAGGACCCTCCCAGACCTCATCCTGTGTATCTCCTTATTTGGTTGCTCCTCTGTTTTCTTTACTAAACTGGTGAACATAAGTGTTTCCCTGAGTTCTGGGAACCACTGTAGCAAAATGATCAAACCTGAAGAGGGGGTTGTTGGGAACCTCTGATTTATAGTCCATCAGTCAGAAGCACAGTGACAGCCTAGGCTTGGGGTCGGTGCTTGAAGTGTGGCGAGGACAGTCTTGTGGCACAGCTTGATCTGTGGGATCTGACACTCCTTCGGGTAGATAGTGTTAGAAGTCAGTTACATTGTAGGACAACCAGCTGATGTGACAGAATTGCTTGGTGGGGGAAGACACCCCCGCCCCCCCATGAATGTGATGTCAAGTGTTGTGAATGTGGTAAGAGAGTGACAGTGAAGGAGAAACACCACAGGGAAAGAAGTGAGTTTGCCTAAACACCATTCTTCTAGCACCAAAGTTCTCTGATTAGGGATGTTCAAATTCTCTAGTCCAAACTGAAGTACCAGAATGCATCAGTGGAGTAATTTCACCATTTCAATGATGAGATCTTGAAGATTCTCCTTTCGGAACATCTTTTGACCTTGGCCTCGTTTACTATAAAAATTTTCAACTGTATTTTCAACATGTCATGCTAAATTTAAAAAAAAAAAAAGTTTTTCATGCAAGCTTGGCCTTGCTAAATACAGGAAGATCTTCATCCAGTTTCACAACTTACCCCTGAAAGAGATACAATCATGAATTCATATTAACTCCCCGAGTCCTTTGTTTCAGACTGGATCTGCTAGATTTGACTATATATGCCACTGACTCACACTGAGTTGTGTCTTTATAGGCAAATGTTATAATCTATTAAAGAGAGACATAAAAATATTTACATTGACAGTACCACAGTCCTATAATTGCTCTCAAAATAGTATTTCTATGAACTCAGCTAGTATGAAGGAGCCAGGCCTTGAACTTAAATCTCATGATGCCATGTTGAGTGCTATTTGCTGTAGTATACTATCTCCCAAGTTCTATACTTTAGGGAAGAGTGTGCTAAGTACCATTAGAAAGTCAGAGATATAATAGAGGAGGTAGGTGTTACTTTCAGATAAAAATGAAGATGACATTTAAATTAGGCCTTGAAGGATACAAATGTTTTAAATTGAGGAACTGGGTGGTGGAACTGGAGAAGGGAGGAAGTTTGGTTAAGTTAGGACAGAGAAGGGCATTCTCAGAAAAGGACACAGTATGGGCCAAGGCATAGAAGTGGCCTGGGGCCAGGGCATGTATGGCAGGACTACGAAGTGAAAACTTGAAACCCTATCCATAAAATATAATTAATATAATGTGTATTCTGTGAACTGTTATACAGCCTTTAAAAATGAGAGTGGCCTATTGAGACTGCCACTGTGAAAACATGTTTATCAGAAACGCTGTGAGTTGAGCTAGCCACTTGATGAAGATAATATGTGAAAGTGCTTTGTAAACTGTAAGAGCAATCTTTCAGAAGGTATAATGGAGAGTGAAGAGAGAGGACCCATGACAGCTTTAGAGGAGAAAAGGGTTCAGTAAGAATTTAGGCTGGGTAAGAATTCAGTAAAGAGTCATAAACTGAAGGTGTAAGAGAGTAAAAATTATTGATGGACCAGGTCCTCCAGAATATGCTTTGGGTCAGAATTGAGGGAACAAGGGACGAGAGGGAAGGAAAGAAAGTGAATAAAAATACAGAACTTGTGAGGTGGGGAGGACATTGTAACTCCTTGTAGTATCCTGTGAGAAAACCAAAGCTTTGCTCTGTGAAGGCAGAAGTTGAGGCTACTTCAAACCTTTGCCTCTCCCCTCAAGCCTCCTACAGCCAGAAGAGAGTGCGCTCCCTCCACTTACATCCCAGCTCCCAGCTGCCCAACGTGCCTATCCTGATCTCCTTTCTTCAGCCTCAGGGGAAGATGTGTCCCCGCTCCTATGCTGAGCCTAGTCCCTCTTTCCTCCTCTGAGAACTTGATTCATCAATTTTGCCTAATTTCTTCTTTATCTTCAGTCCCTTCTCAGACCATTGGATCCTTCTCAACATGTTTAAGTACTTACGAAATATCTCCCCAACGTTTCACAGCAGCCTTACATGCCACCTACCTTTCTTTGTAGCATATCTTCCTCTGTCCCTCTTGTATTCTCTCCTTCAGTTAAGATGCCCACCACCCAGCTAGAACCCTGCTAGGCTTCCCAGACTCCTCTCTCTCCACTCCCAGAGCTAACCAATTCCCAAATCATTTTCATTTTACCTTTGAAATCACTTTGCATCCATACCTTTCTCATTATTATCACTGCCACTATTTTAGCTCCTGGACTCAGTTTTTCTTGCCTGGAGCACTACAACAGCATCTTAACTGGTACTTCTGATTCTAGTGTCACCCACCATCAACCTACCCTTTATATCATTATTAGGGTGATCTTTCAAAAATGCATGCCTGATCATATCACTCCTGTATTTAAAATCTTTCAGAGAAAAAGAAAAAAAATAAGTAAAAATAAACATTAAAATTAAATAAATAAAATAAAATCCTTCAGAGCTTCTCATAATGATGAAGTCGAAATTTCTTAGTATGTATATAACATGATCATCTTATCTCCTGTCCTAGGAAGAACATGGGTGTTAGACAGTACTTGTGGTCCAGGGATTGTAGCAGGGTGTCTCAGGCCTCTGTGCTCTGAGTGTGCTCTTGCTTTCCTCTTCTATCTAAGGAATATCCAGGCAGCTATGCTGATCTGGCTCAGGTGACACTCTTTCTGTAAAATCTTCCGTGAGGTTTTCTCACACAGTCCAGGGCCGTTTCATCTATGCTTTTAGAGCACCTGGGGCGGTTACACCGACACAATTCTAGAACAGAGTTGATTTATCTATCTTTCCCAACAGATTATGTAGTCCTTGGTGATCTTTGCTTGATTTTTCTTTGTACCCTTGGCATCTAACACAGAGGCTGTCACATAGTTTACTGATAGTCACTAAATGTTTACTGAATTTGACTCTGCATCCTTGAACCATGCACCAAAGGAGACACATTCATGCTGAGACAACCTGTAGGTAAAAGATCATAAATGTGTAATAGACACATGGCAAATGTAGTACTTAGGCACACAGTCCTGTATGTAGATAACCTGTGTTCATCTTTTCATTCCGACCGTTTCATCACATTGGTGTGCAGGTTCCAGGTGCTGCATTAGCCATCTTTATCTTTTTTTAAAAAGAAATTATACAGTTTTATAATTTTCTCCATTGCTTCTTCATTTACTAAAAATAATTTCACAATACAGTAAACCCTCGATTTAACAGACTTTGGATTTAACAGATAAAATTTCCACATGTTATATATGAAAATTAATACCCTATTAATCTGAAAATGTTTTTAACCAAGATTTTCTTATAGTTAAATTAACAGGTGTTTTTTGGTTATTAATTCACTGTTATTTTTAACAAATTTTAGTGAATAGGCTGTATGTTGGGGAAAAAACACTAGTAATTTTGCCAACATAAATACATATATATCTACAACTATAGCCTACATATTTAAATCCAAGAGATACCACTCTGTAAACAATGTTCGGTGAATGACTAGCACGTGATCACACCGTATTGTGCAGGGCCATTGGTTCTGTTGTCCCGTGGCTTGGTGGCTCAACCTTCTGCAGCAGTTTTAATGTATACAGGCCAATGTTCCCTCTGCACTAAGCCACACCCCAGCATGAGCATCTGTGAGCAGGTAACTCCCCGGCTATCTCATGCCAACTCAGCAGTGGTGCTTTCAGCAGTAAAAGTCCTAATGAAATTTCTAGAGTTGTTACCCAAGGACTCTGACTACTATAATAGGCTGCTAAAGAAGTTGGCCCCTCCACTTGTCACTTTGCTGTCTGGGGAGCCAGAGGTGCGGTATGTCGCCCTGAGGAACATCAACCTAACTGTTCAGAAAAGGCCTGAAATCTTAAAGCAGGAAATCAAAGTCTTCTTTGTGAAGTATAATGATCCCATCTATGTTAAACTAGAGAAGCTGGACATCATGATTCATTTGGCATCCCAAGCCAGTATTGCTCAGGTGCTGGCAGAGCTGAAGGAATATGCCACGGAGGTGGATGCTGACTTTGTTCACAAAGCTGTGAGGGCCATTGGACGGTGTGCCATCAAGGTGGAGCAATCTGCAGAACGTTGTGTGAGCACATTGCTTGATCTCATCCAAACCAAAGTAAATTATGTGGTCCAAGAGGCGATAGTTATCATCAGGGACATCTACAAGTATCCCAACAAGTATGAAAGCATCATTGCCACTCTGTGTGAGAACTTAGACTCTCTGGATGAGCCAGATGCATGAGCAGCTATGATTTGGATTGTGGGCGAATATGCTGAACGAATTGACAATGCAGATGAATTACTAGAGAGCTTCCTGGAGGGTTTTCATGATGAGAGCACCCAAGTGCAACTCACTCTGCTCACTGCCATAGTGAAGCTGTTTCTCAAGAAACCATCAGAAACACAGGAGCTGGTACAGCAGGTCTTGAGTTTGGCAACACAGGATTCTGATAATCCTGACCTTTGAGACAGGGGCTATATTTATTGGTGGCTTCTCTCAACCGACCCTGTCACAGCCAAAGTAGTAGTCTTGTCTGAGAAGCCACTGATCTCTGAGGAGACAGATCTTATTGAGCCAACTCTGCTGGATGAGCTAATCTGCCACATTGGCTCTTTGGCCTCTGTGTACCACAAGCCTCCCAATGCTTCTGTGGAAGGAAGTCACGGAATCCATTGCAAACACTTGCCAATACATCATGGGAGCACTGATGCAGGTGACAGTCCTGTTGGCACCGCCACTGCTACCAACCTGGAACAGACTCAGGTTATTCCCTCTCAAGGTGACCTTGATCTCGGTCCACCAGTCAATGTGCCACAGGTAACCTCCATGCAGATGGGAGTAGTGGATCTCTTTGGAGGAGGACTAGATAGTCTGGTGGGACAATCCTTCATTCCATCATCAGTGCCTGCAACCTTTGCTCCTTCACCTACTCTTGCTTGGTCAGCAGTTGTCTGAATGATCTATTTGAACTCTCTACGGGGATAGGCATGGTCCATGGTGGATATGTGGCTCCTAAGGCTGTCTGGCTGCCTGCAGTAAAGGCCAAAGGCTTGGAGATTTCTGGAACATTTACTCATTGTCAGGGACACATCTATATGGAAATGAACTTCACTAACAAAGCTCTGCAGCATATGACAGACTTTGCAATCCAGTTTAACAAGAATAGCTTTGGCGTCATCCCCAGCACTCCTCTGGCCATCCATACACCACTGATGCCAAATCAGAGCATTGATGCCTACCTGCCTCTCAACACCTTGGGTCCAGTCATGAAGATGGAAGCTCTGAATAACCTACAGGTAGCTGTGAAAAACAATATTGATGTCTTCTACTTCAGCTGCCTCATCCCACTCAATGTGCTTTTTGTAGAAGATGGCAAAATGGAGTGCCAGGTCTTTCTTGCAACATGGAAGGGTATTCCCAGTGAAAATGAACTTCAGTTTCAGATTAAAGAATGTCATTTAAATGCTGACACTGTTTCCAGCAAGTTGCAAAACAACAACGTTTATACTATTGTCAAGAGGAATGTGGAAGGGCAGGACATGCTGTACCAATCTCTGAAGCTCACTAATGGCATTTGGATCTTGGCTGAGCTATGTATCCAGCATGGAAAGCCCAATTATACACTGTTGCTGAAGTGTAGAGCTCCTGAAGTCTCTCAGTACATCTATCAGGTCTACGACAGCATTTTGAAAAACTAATAGACTGCTCTGGTGCCCTCCGGCCACCCTGTGAACAGTGCAAGCCAAGAACTCTTAACTAGAAGAAATTGTTTTGCCGTGTAGAAGCTGAACCTAAATACACTGAGGCCACCCCCCCAAAAAATACAGTAACTTTACTGATTTCTGAAATGAATGGGTGTGGCAAACTAAGAACACTAGCAAATGGTTCCACTTTTTCTTCTTCCTCAGTGCCATATCCAGTGTTACATCAAGATAAACACCTTGCTGCCTGACCAGTGTGGCTCAGTGGTTGAGCATCAACCTATGAACTAGGAGGTCAGGGTTCAATTGCTAGTCAAGGCACATGCCCCAGTTGTGGGCTTGATCCCCTGTGGGGGGCAGGCAGGAGGCAGCCAATCAATGATTCTCTCTCATCATTGGTGTTTCTATCTCTCTCCCTCTCCCTTCCTTTCTGAAATCAATAAACAAATATATTTTTTTAAAAAGATAAACACCTTGCTTTGGATTCATCAAGTCCAGAATTTGAAATTTCTTAAGTAAATGAATAATTTTATCTTCTATATCTGCCTTGGATATAAGTGTTTTAAGTAGACATCATCCTCAGATTTGCCTTCCATAAAGGGGTATGACTTTATTTTTTCTATTTCATCTTTGTTTTTATTTGATGCTTTTTCTTTGGCACATTTTTTTGTTTTCTTTCCAGGCTTCCTAACAGGAGCAAAATATCTGTGAGGCACCTGAACACATGCAGAACAAGAATAAAGAGGCGTCTGATAAACCATCTTAGAGAGACTATGCTTTTGAGATATCAAGACTCTACCAAGGGGTCTGCCAGATGCTCCGTCTTGGCCGTTCCAGATCTAGCCGTCTTCATCTTAACATTTGTCCTTCTATAATATTTTAATTTTCCCTAGAGAATACCATGAAACATGATGATGATGATGATGATGATGATGATGATGATGACAATGATAATAATATCTTTGTGAAACTTGAGTCACTTCCAAAGCTGTCCATGTTTGATTTTCTGAAACTAAACAGTCATGCTTGTGAACTCTCTGTGCATTTCTGATGGTTTGTCTTAAATTTGATGACAACTTTTTGAATTTGAAAAATTAACAAATTTTATATTTCAAAATTCATATAAGACCTGTCCTAAAGAATCCCCTCCCCCCCCCAATAACAATAATAACAGCTTTTCTTTATTCAGCACCTCCTACAGGGCTAGATATATATTTTCCTCTTGTGCTTACCTGGTTAATTGAAGTGCAAAACTAATTTCAGTGAGATAAAATAATTCCTTCCCTTTTCACTCAAGTTGATTTTTACAGAGAGAGGAAGGAAGAGGGAGAGAGAGAAACATCAATGTGAGAGCAGAACACCGATTGGCTGCCTCTGCATGCACCTTACTAGGCATTGAGCTCAAAACCTAGGCATGTGCCCTGATCAGGAATCAAACCAGCAATCTTTTGATGCATGGGATGATGTCCAACCAACTGAGCCACAGCAGCCAGGGCTCAAGATATATTTTTGATTCAACAGTTACACCTCTATCCTAGCTCTGGGATTTACCTAAAGAACAAAGTATATTCTATGTTCACTTATCTTTCTGATACATATCACAAAATCTGCTATCTCTGGTTCCTTTGTTTAAATTCAAAACTAATTCCTCAAAACGATGTTAAGGAGGAAATCATAGCATTCGGTCTCAAAAGATAAGTCCTCTCTTTTCATCTATGGTTTAATTCCAAAGAATTTCAAATAAGTGTCCTTTTAACTTTAGTTGGCAGTAGGAAGAGCCTGGTGCCTGGAAAGAAAAAGGATGTCCTTCAGGAGGGAAAAAGTTGAAATAAGATACATGACTACTTTTATGTGTCACTAAAGACCTGATAACATTGGAGTGATATTCTGTGAAAATGAAAATAGATATTTGGAAAATCAGCCATTGTATTAATCTGTTTTTATTAAAGTAGAATATATTTGATTGTTTACAGGACGAAATTAGAAAATAATCACATTTTTTGGAATGTAAAATTTCACCATTTATACAATTTTAATGTATCATTTGTATGGATTGATCGGGGTACTATGCTTAGTAGTGACTGCTCCTGGAGTGGTTGACAAAAATGATTAATGTTTACTCTTCAGTCTTGTTTAATCTAAATCATTTCCATTTCCTTCTGAAATATCTGACATCTAAAAATGATAGGGAAAAAATGTTAAGTTTTCAGGAAAGATAGGCAATCAGTGACAGAACAAACAGAGATTCTTGATTACATATGGAATTCTTATTCCATAAATAGCTCGTTCCTGATTACATATGAAAAGTGGTACAAGGAAAGCCTATGGGATAGATGGACGTAACAAATAATACCAATACTATATTTTAATCATATTTTGTTTGTTTCAACCTTTCTCCATTTAAGGGACATGATAAGGAACAAAGCTGGTTGCGTTTCATCTTCCTTGGTTTGGTTGCCAGCTGGCAGAATGAAGGAAAAGGAATAGAAGTAAGAATCTAAATAGATCATGAAGTGACTCACCAGCACAGTATAACCAAGAGTTGGTAGTATTAAGGTGTCCTTGTAACTATTGCAACAGTTGGGTCTCAATGGGGCACATAGAGTGAAGACCTTTGTCCTTTCCCTCACAGAGCTATGTCACAAATAGGCCATGGTATTTATGAATACACTAGATCCTGGTGCACGGATTCGTGCACATTGAAAGTAAATTAATTAGAAGGTGGCCAGCGGGGGAGGACTGGCACGCCCTGGAGCCAACCTCTCATGGTATTTCTCCAGCCGGCCACACCTGGGGTGGCACTGGGGCTCCAAGGGCGTCTGTGGAGTGAGCTGGGTCCCTCTGGCAAGTGGGGTCCCTCATCCTGGCCTGTGGGGATCAGGCCAAAACCGGCAGTCCGACAACCCCCAAGGGGTCCTGGAGTGCGAGAGGGCACTCTGCAAAGTTGCAGTCGCTTGGCAGCTCCTGCGTTGAGCATCTGCCCCCTGGTGATCATTGCACATTATAGCTACCAGCCAGGCAGCTGGTTGGCGGGTAGCTTAGCCTTTTATATATGTAGATGTCCACTGCCTGGGGTGGGACAGGGGCAGCAGCAGCTGTTGTATCTTCTATAAGTAATTACTCCAGAAAGGGTACTTTTGGTCCTAGGTCTACAAGCCAGTCTAACATTCACTCCCATTTAGTACCTATTATGGCATAGGTGCTTGGGGATACCAAAATAAATATGAGACAATCCCTGCACTAAAAGAGTTCTAGAAAATTCAAAGAACATGCAAGAAGAGAACTAGTGAAATGTTATAAGTGCTATTGCATCAAAGGGTATGGTGTGGAAACATGGGAGGAAGTATCAGGTTGACAGGGCAGTAGATGGAGCTTGAGCTGGTAGTGGGAAATGAAGTAAGGAGGAGGAAAGGAGTCATTGGGAAGATTCCAGGTAGGGGGAACTGCATGGGCAATCACAAGAAAGCATAAAAATAAAATAGCACATTTAGAAAATTTCAAATAATTATATAGGGTTGGTGTGTATGCTGATAAGCAGCAGTGACTGAGCAGATTGGATAGGAAAGAAAGGGTTAGACCATAGAGGACCTTATGTGCCAAGCTAAAGAGACTGGATTTGAGCCTGAATGCAACTGAGAACTACTGGAGAGCTTATGTAGGGGAAAAGCATAATCTTATTTTGCTTCAGAAAGATCACTTTATCTACTCTGTGGAAGACAGGAGGAGAGCAAAACTGGAGGCAGAAACACAATTAGAAGATGACTGTGGGAGGGAAGAAAAGAAATGATGAGGGCTTGACATGAAGCAGTAGCTGTGGGATGAAGTTAAGAGAACCAATACAAAGAAAGGTCCAGAGAGAGGGGCTTCTAATTATAAGACAAACTATGATTAGAGGCCAAAAAGGCCCTCATCTGAGGATAGAGTGGAAAGCTAAGGTGAACATTACTGAAAGGTAACTTCAGGACTGATGCTTAATCTTGTGTGATTATCAAATTACATGGAAATATAACATCTTATCTAATAAAATAGAAACATGCAAATTGACCGTACCTCTACTACACTCACAAACCACGGCCACAAGCCAATCAGAGCGACTATATGCAAATTAACCCAACCAAGATGGCGGCCCAGCAGACATGGAGCTGGAGCAAGCAGGAGGCTTAGTTGCCCCAGCGATGGAGGAAGCCAAGCTTCCTGCCTGCCCTGGCCGGCTGTTGCCTCTGCATAAAGCAACAAAGTTTCAATTATAGAAGATAAATAAATCCCAGATACCCGGTTCCAGCCAGCCTCCACTAGGAGCTTGGGTGGCTGGGGGCTGTGGCCAGCCTGCAAAGAACCATCAGCCCCTCACTCAGGATGGCCACACCCATGGGGTGAGGGTCCCTGCTGGGAGGCTTGGCCAGCCTGCAAACAGCCATCAGTCACTCTTCCAGGCTGGCCACACCCTCATGGGGTAAGGGTCCTTGCTGGGGGCTTGGTCAGCCTGCAGGCAGCCATCAGCCCCTCACCCAGACTGGCCAGGCACCCCAGCAGGACCCCCACCCTGAAGGGGGCGTGGCCAGCCTGCAAACAGCCATCAGCCCCTCACCCATGATGGCCAGGCACCCCAGCAGGAACCCTTACCCTGAAGGGGCTGTGGCCAGCCTACAAACAGCCATCAGCCTCTCACCCAGGCTGGACAGGCACCCCAGTGGGAACCCCTACTCTGAAGGGGCTGTGGCCAGCCTGCAAACAGCCATCAGCCCCTACCCAGGCTGGCTACACCTTCATGGGGTGAGGGTCCCTGCTGGGGGGCTTGGCCAGCCTGCAAACAGCCATCAGTCCCTCACCCAGGCTGGCCAGGCACTCCAGTCCCCCACTCTGAAGGGAGTGTGGCCAGTCTGAAAATGGCCCTCAGCTCCTCACCAGGCTGGCCAGGCACCCCAGCGGGACCCCCACCCTGATCTGGGACACCCTTCAGGGAAAACCAGCTGGCCCCCACCCATGCACCAGGCCTCTATCCTATATAGTAAAAGGGTAATATGCAAATTGACCTTAAGAGCAGAACGACTGGGAATGACTGGTTACTATGACACACACTGACCACCAGGGGGCAAATGCTCAATGCAGGAGCTGTCCCCTGGTGGTCAGTTCGCTTCCACAGGGGGAGCTCTGCTCAGCCACAAGCCAGGCTGACAGCTGCCAGTACAGCAATGGTAGTGGGAGCCTCTCCTGCCTCCTCAGCAGCACTAAGGATGTCTGACTGCAGCTTAGGCCTGCTCCCTGCTGGCAAGTGGGCATTCCCCGAGAGCTCCCAGGCTGCCAGAGGGATGTCTGACTACCAGCTTAGGTCCAATCCCCTGGGGAGCAGGCCTAAGCCAGCAGGTGGTCATCCCCCAAGGGGTCCCAGGCTGCAAGAGGGCACAGGCCGGGCTGAGGGACCCCCCCAAGTGCACAATTTTGTGCACCGGGCCTCTAGTTCTTTATAATGATCATCAAATATGACCTACCTCAGGCATGGATTTTAGATGATATTCTAATCTTCTTGGTCTGTAGGAAATAGAAAGAGAATAATGAGAGAATGAAAGAGAGAGAGAGAGAGAGAGAGAGAAATGGTGTGGAGAACTAAAAATAATGAACCAAGTATGCTGTTATTTAACATATTCTTTCCCTCACTCAAGGAGAAACTGTCATTTAGGATAGAATTATAAGACCCTAAAAGATTAAGCTAAAGATTTTCAGTATGTAATATATGGATCATTCTCAATGTAATTAAGTAAATATGTTGAGTCACAGTCTCATTACATTTTAACACTCTCATAGATTTGCTTAGGATAAAATTTTGGCTATGATTTGAAAACCTAAGAAATTTCCTTGAAAGTGATTAAGAACTAAAAGCAAAAATAAGAGGTATGAGACTATTAAAGTGCCCATTTTTTCCCCCTGTTTCCCACTGTTTCCTCTACTGAAGACAACTGGCAAAAGTAGCATCATAATTTTGAGATGACACAGTAGTCCAAAACATGTTCCCGTGCTGAGTTCAGTGAGGCCAATTGGCCAGTGAAAGGCTTCATGAACAGTGGTGGCTGAAGGCTGGTGTAAGTCTTAAGTTTTCTAAGAAAGAGCCTTGAGAGCTCTTCTCCCTTACCTCCTTGCTTCAAGGCCAAGCTAAGTCTATACATATGGGCCTCAAATTTGTTGTGAAAATAGGCCACATGTTATTTATACAGTAAGCAAATATCTGAACTAGTGAAAAGTGTAAAAATTTATATGCAAATTTTCTTATTTTAAAATAATTCTGGAAAAACATATTTCATAATTTCAGCAACTCAGAAGAGATATATGCAGCTTAAATTAGCAATTACTGAACAGCTGTAATATACCAGGCATCAGATCTTATCTTTCATATTAAGAAAAATAAATTGTTGTTAATCTATCACTTGGCAAATATAATACAAATCTGTTAAGGAGTTTTAATTTAAAAAAATATATATTTTATTGATTTTTTACAGAGAGGAAGGGAGAGGGAGGTATAGAGAGTTAGAAACATCCATGAGAGAGAAACATCCATCAGCTGCCTCCTGCACACCCCCTACTGGGGATGTGCCCGCAACCAAGGGACATGCCCTTGACCGGAATTGAACCTGGGACTCTTCAGTCCACAGGCTGATGCTCTAGCCACTGAGCCAAACTGGTCAGGGCAGGAGTTTTGATTTTTAAAACATAGCTGTATTTGCAAACGGTAAGCTGAGCAAACATGACATATAATCAAAATGCACATTTAATGTCTGCCTCCTCCTTCTGCTTTAGACTTTTGCCACTCAGGGAAGGAGCTATTCCTTTGCCATTGGCTGACTACACAGCAGGCCCGAAGAGTTTTTACTCACTTTAAGGCAGTGGTTCTCAACCTTCCTAATGCCGCGACCCTTTAATACAGTTCCTCATGTTGTGGTGACCCTCAATTTCATTATTACAAATTGAACATAATTAAATCATAGTGACTAATCACAAAAACAATATTTAATTATATATGTGTTTTCCGATGGTCTTAGGTGACCCCTGTGAAAGGGTCGTTCGATCCCCAAAGGGGTCGAGACCCGCAGGTAGAGAACCGCTACTTTAAGGTAATAGTCAATCCTCACTGTGAGGCAAAAACACAGTCTCAATTCAGTAGGCATATTATCCAGTCTTAAATAGTAATCAATCCTTTAACCTTCTTTCAAAAGTAGGACTTCTCCTCCACCTCTCTCAGCTACGGCTTCAGTTGGTGGACCCCATCTACCCTTGGAGGCCAATTTCTGCTCTCTTTGCTCACAACTTCCTCCATTTTCAGCAGAAGAGATGGGATGTAGGCTGTAGGACATTCTTACTTGGCTGAGTGATTACACAATCTCTGGGCTTGGCAATGGCTAAAGCTGATTCTCTCTCTTCAGAGCTTGCCTTTGCTAAGGATCTCTCTGTCCTACAGTTAGGGGCAGAAATATAATAGTGGGGACTAGCTATAGTTCTAAGAAATATTAAACATACTCTGTTAACTGTGATTAGAGAAAGCACATCTGACCTGGCTGAGAATTGTATGCCCCAGGATATGGGAGTTAACCTGGGAATGTGATCCATTCACTTTTTCCAAGAGCTGCCGATCATCATGGAAAGATTAACAACCTTGTTGCTGAAACAGTCTGGTCCTGGAGGTGCCCGCTCTTTGCGACCCTCAACCCACATTGCCTGTAACCTGTAACCATTGTACCTTGCCTACTTTCCCATGCCTGTAATTCCTCCTTTCCCATGTAATCTTTGTTCTTCTACCCAATATAAGCAGCTGGTTTATGGGGGTAAGAGGAAGAGAAGATTTTCGTGGATGACCTGCTGCTCTCCCATACTGCTGGCATTTTTGGAATAAACGCTCATACATGATTCAACCCTGTCTCTGCTTAATTGGCTCAAGTAGTGACAATTAAGTAGCCCTGACCCATTCGTTATCCGGTTTCACTGCAAGTCCCTTGACCCAGGCTTATGCATCTCTCATCTGGTGGTCACTTGATATTTCTTCATCAGCCCCGAAGAACTGTGTGTTCCCTTTCAGCTTCTTGCTGCTGATATCCCTCCAGACAGCCTTGAGCAGAGCCCACAACTCAACTCTCACTTGCATGGTTCTTAAGAAACTATCGCATACATCCTTTGTGCTCATCACAATCTCAGGGAGACTAGGCCACCCCCAACACAGCCCCTCTGTCCTTGCACGGCACAGCTGCTTTATTTAGCTTTCTCAGGCATGAGTGAGTCACTGATCCTGGTTCCCAACTCTTAGGAAAAGCATTTCTTTCCAAGCTCTTAGGTGATCTCCTGAAACCCCTTCACAAGCCTTTAGGGAAAAGAGGTACAATTACTTAGGGGTAATGGGAGCTCACAATCTGACAGAGTCAAAGGAATCTCTTCTCTCATCTTCTTCACTCTCCACACTTTTTATATATGTTGGATCTGGCCAAGGAATATGAGTCATGAAACAAATTCTCTGAAATTTCCTACAGAACCCTTGCACATGGGGAAAACTCATTCTCATTTTGGGAACTAGTAAATGTTTTATTAGTACCTCAGGAATTAGGCCAGGAGGAATCTGATTTTTAAATCCTACTATGGTCTTAACCCCATTAGGTTTGCAAATATACCTTGTAGCATCAAATACTGGAAGATTATAAGAGTTAACATTAGTGTAAGAAAATCTGGTCATGAAATCCGTTCTGCTATACATTTATAGCAGGTAAGCTGTTTTATTAGACAAAATCTTAACTCATAGTCTTTAAAGTACCTTCCTTAGAAGTGATCTGAAATTCCATGAGGGCAGGGAACCTGGCTTTCTAATTCAGATCCTACGAAAAACATTTATCAAGCGACTGTTTTATGCCAGGCAAAAAAACCTAACCCCCAAAACAAGCACTTTCATAGACTATATTTTTAATCTTTTTAAAAAAGATTTTTAAAAAGCTTTTAAAATTTTATTACTTATTATTATACATATATATTTTATTATACATATATCCTAAAGTGAAAGACATTATTTATAAAAAGAAAAAAATTACCTTGGTTTTCTGGCTATATCTTTTCTGGCTATATCTTTGTGCCTTGTAATTAGACCTTCCAAATGTTTATTTCTCTCTTCTAAACTGGAAAAAGAAACAATTCAAATTTGACTAAAATTGATTTTTTTAAACTAATACTTTGTAGATTCATTGGAGGGTTTGAGTATATAAATTCAAATGTGATCTAGCTGTCTCCACATCCAGTCATCTCACTATATGGGTAATTGGGATTCTTTCCTAGCAACTCACATTATTTAATCAGTTTTTCTCTTTATAGGTACCAGTGGCGATGAAGGAGAGCAGACAGCAGTAAACCTATAAAGTGACATTCAGATATTCTTCTCTTTATAGGGTGGTTGAGAATCGATTGCTCTGTATGAGTAAACCCAACATGATCCTGGCGGCAACCTGTTAACAAAACCCCTGAGCTGTGAACTGCTTTGACATGGGGAAATGTGTAAGAGTGTTACAGGAAGGATCACAGCATTCAAGTGGCCTACCAGACATTTACTTGTGTTCTGTTTCTATGGCTTTTAGCAAAAGAGGTAAGTAGTGGGTTCCCTTGTGCCCCTAGAAGGGAAAATTCAATTAAGATAGTCTCTCCCAAACTCACATTCCCATCCAGGGAGGGTGTATTAGTTCCCTGTGACTGCTGTAACAACAGACTTGGTGGCTTCAAACAACACACATATGTTCTCCCACCATCTGGAGATCAGAAATCTGAAGTCAGTTTTACTGGGCTGAAATCAAGGTGTCTGCATGGAAATGTCCCTCTGGAGGCTCTAGAGTTGGATTCTTTGCCTTGCTTTTTCCATTTCTGGAGGCTGTCCTCATTTCTGATCTCATGGCCCTTCATTGCATCTCCTTTTCTCCCCTTGCTTCCATGGCCACATTGCTTCTTTCTTTATCAAATTTATTTCTGCCTCCCTCTTGTAAGAACAATTGTGATTGCATTTAGAGCCTGGGTGGACAATCCAGGATAATCTCTCCATATCAAGATCCTTAACTTAGCCCTAGCCAGTTTGGCTCATGGGATAGAGCATGCGGACTGAAGCGTCCTGGGTTTGATTCTGGTCAAAGGCATATGTCCGGTTTGTGGGTTCAATCCCCAGTAGGGGGTGTGCAGGAGGCAGCCTATCAATAATTCTCTCTCATCATTGATGTTTCTATCTCTCTCTCCCTCTCCCTTCCTCTCTGAAATCAATTTTTTTAAAAAAAGTCAACCTTAAAAAAAATATTTAATTTAATAAATTTGCAAAGTCTCTTTTGTCATGCAATGGAACAGTAGCAGGTGCCAAATATTAGGATTTGAATATCTTTGGGGGCTATTATTCAGCCTGCCATAGAGGGTAAACAGACCCTGGGGAACAGGAAATTCTATTGCAAGGGTTATAACCTCAAATGTTTATGGGAAAGTCAGGCAAGTATGTGACTAAAGCCAGATAAATGTGGATTAGGACAAACCAGGGATCA